AGTGTGATTGGCACAGGATAGAGCAGGGTTTAGGGCTGTTGTACATAGGGTCACTATGAGTCGCAAGCGACTCGACGGCACATAACAACAACAACATGAGTTCTTTGTTGTTTTTTTCCCCAGTCACAATAGACACACACACAGAGGCAGATAACATTAGAATCATATACAGTGAACACCAAGAAGGGTCCTATGGTTGCAGAATGGTCAAAACCAAGACTGTACGAAAATAGATTAATGTTTTTTTCTAGCCACCTACTTGTGGTATTTCTGTTAAAGGAGCACTGGTAGAAAAGTGAGTACTGTATTAGGCTGATCACTGAAAGCTTAGCAGTTTTGATCCAACAAGCCACTCTAGGGCAATAAACAGACATTCCTTCAGTAGCCTAGTCAGTAGGGAGTCGCACTGCCAACTCAAATGCAGGTGGTTTGATCCACCAGCTGCTGTTCTAATGGAGAAAGAGAGGCAGTATCAATCAAATTATAGCCTCTGAAAATCTGCTGGAGGGCCGGCTATGAGTCAGTTCCAGCTTGATACCAGTAAGTTTGAGAGTTTTAAGATGTAAAAGAAACCCTCAGAAATCTGATGGGGGATCACTATGAGTCAGAATTATTTATTGGCAGTAGATTTAGGTAACTAAGGCCTTCATTCTTACTGTTTTTCATCCCGAGCATAGTGTTCCTTGTGAATTGTCTGATTCAAAGTGGCCAAAGCCAGTCAATCTCATCTCATTTAATGTGTAGAATGTCAATATTCATAAATTCTGTTTCATTTTTCACATGTTCTCATTTTCCAACATTTGTACTCCATACATTTCATCCTATTAATGGATGTTTTCAGCTGTTTCTCCTAATTTTGATTGACTGTCCCCTGAGCTCTACATCTAATATTATATCTATTTATATTTCTCTGTTGTTCATTGGGTTTTCAGAGACCTGCTATTTCAAAAGTAGACTGCCAATCCTTCTGCCTTGCCTGTCTCAATCTGGGAGCTCCATTAAAACCTGTCTACCTCTGGCATTTGACACACTGGTGGCATAGTTTTCACCATCACAGCAACCCACAAATACAGCAAACTGGCAGACAAGTGCTGATCTAATTAGAACAATTATAAATAAGCAAGAATACAGATAGTCAAACTACAAAATAATTAGCAATATGCAGATCAAGTCCTTAATATAACAAACTGCTATCAGTCTCACAGTTTAGAACTCTCCATGTCCACACCCCAGGCACGTTTGTCACTAAACTTCTGCTCCAGGGCCATATTTCTGTGACTGCAGGGTGCTAGAGCCTTCCAGCTGAGGTGCACATCTGACACAGGAGAATAATGTCCCAGATGAGGATCCTGCATGCTGAGAAGATTATTTGAGAATCTAGACTATGATGAACATCGTGGCATTAGGAGAAAGACACATCAATAACCTGTGTTGTGCAGATGGCCCAACCTTGCTTGCTGAAAGTGAAGGAGGACTTAAAGCAAAAGATCAAAAACTGCAGCCTTAAATATGGATTGCATCTCAATGCCAAAAAAACAAAAGTTCTAGCCACTGGACCACAGGCAACAGGTAGGTAGAGAAAGACTGAAATTATCAGCTACTTCATCTTACTTGGGTCCACAACCAATGCACTTGGTACTAGTGGTCAGAAGAACAGGAGATGTATTGCATTGGAAAATCTGTAATCAAGAACCTTTTCAAATTATTGGGGAGCAATGATGTTGGCATAAGGACTAAGGTGTATCTGATTCAGGCCATGGTCTTTCCAATCACTGAGCCTCTGAGAGCTAGACAGTAATTAAGGGTGCCTTTTAATTGTGGTGTTGGAGAAGAGTACTGAATATCTCATGCACTGCCAAAAGAATAAACAGGTATGTCTTGGAGAAAGGGTAGCCAGAGTGCTCTTTGGAGGCAAAGATGATGAAACTCACATACTTTGGGCATGTTGCTAAGAGAGCTATTTATTGGAGAGGAACATTATGCTTTTGAAGGTGGAGGAACAGTAAAAGAGAAGAAGAAGAAGAAGACTCTCAACCAAGTGGCTTGACATAGTGACTGCAGCAATAAACTTGAGAATGTCAGAGATTATGAGGATGACACAGGATAGGACAGAGGTCAGATCTGTTGTTCATAGAGTTACTATGCGTCATACTCGACATCACCTAACAATAAAACCAAGACCTTCACTTTGCTATCACTTGTTATGCATCAGAGAGTTGGACAATGACTAAGAAGGATAGAAGGAGAATTGATGCCTTTGAGCTGTGATGCTGGAGAGGAATATTGAGGGGACCATGGACTGCTAAGAAAGCAAACAGATTCATCCAGGAGAGGGTTAAACCGCGCAGCTTCTTTGAGGCAAGGATTCTGAGGCTTTGTCTAACATTTTGGATATGTTGAAAGGAGAGACCAGTCCTTGGAGAGGGACATCATGGTTGGTAGGGTGGAGGGACAGCGCAGGATGGAAAGGCCCTCTATGAGGTAGACTGATTCAGTGACTGGAGTAATCGGGATGAATGTGTTAGAGACAGTGTGATTGGAACAGGACAGAGCAGAGTTTAGGGCTGTTGTACATAGGGCCGCTATGAAGCTGACTCGACGGCACATGACAACAACATTCTGAAATGCTTCCAGTAGCATTTTCAGAGGTTGTTTGATGAAGACCACATAATAAAAAAATGCACAAAATGTGAATTGTAATTTGTTTTCTAGTTATGTTAAAGTTAAATTTGGGATTTTATAGCAGAAACAAGAAAAATGCATGTTCCAATTATTTCTTGAGTTCTTCCAGCCATGGTTATGCCCTCCGAGAATACGGTTTCTTTCTGTATTGACCACACACTGCCACCAGGTGGGGGTACAAGCTAGGTGCTCTGGTGGGTGGATTCAGGAGAGCAGTGCTGTTCTGCAATGAAGACCTTGAACAACTCTGAGAATGGAGATTCCCCACATTTATCAGATACCAGGCAGGACAGTTATAAACAGAGAAAAGAGTACATCTACTCTCCTAGCAATAGCTTGACCAATGTCACCAAATTGCCTATGGAATAACAACCCTGAGTGCCAGTGTACCACACCACTTAGGATGTATTAGGGAGCTGACCTGGCCAGTACCCAAACAATTCCAACACCACCTGAGCCCCAGCAGTGGGTCATGAATACCCTAAGTGCAGGATAGAATGACAGAGAACACCAGAAAGGGAGAAAAGGACTCCTAGCATCTGACCTGGCTCCCAGGTACTGGAGGGCATCCGAAGATGTTTGGGACCCTGAAAGCAGACAGTACTGACTTAATTACTAAATTTTAATATTCCAGCTTTATTGGTAATTGCATGGCCTTTTTGTTCACCACAAAATATAAATAGCCTTTTTTTTTTAATAGAACCTAACAAACTACTTTATTGGAGTAAGGTTTTCCTGGGCAGAAAGATACTTCTTTTCCCACATCCTGTTATTTTTACACTTACTATGTTGCCTCTTGCCTCTTATCTGACTGATTTCTCTTGGAACCCTCTTATAAAGACCTTTCTAATTACACTGAGTACACCAAGATAACCTTGGATGATCTCTCCCCGTTTGAAGGTCCTTACTTTGATCATATCTACAAAGCTCTTTTTGCCTCTAATGTGTCAGTCATGATTCCAAGGAGTTGGATGTGGATCTTTTTGCTGAGCAGAGGAACATTACCTACAGTGTGTAAATTCTCAAGTATGTAAGCCTGGAACTGTGCATATTGCTTCTCTGGATCATTTTCTCAAAATAGTTTTCCCCTCTTCAGGGGAGTCTGTGAATCAAAACAATGATTCATGTCTACAATTTAATTATTGTTTTAGGTGCCATTGAGTCACATATGGCTCATGGCGACCCTATGAACAAAAGATCTGAACCCATCCTGTCCTGCACCATCCTCCCACTTCCTGACACACAAAGCCCATTGCAGCAGTCACCTTGTCAGTCCACCTAACTGAGGGTCTTCCTCTCCTTTGCCCACCCTCCACCCTTCCCAACATCATGTCTCTCTAAAAGGAATAACACCTCCTAGCAATATGTCCAACGTATGTGAGGCAAAGCGTCATCATTCTTGCCTCCAAAGAGCACTCCGGCTTCACCCTCCACAAGACATACCTGTTCATTACCCTTCTCTACTTTTCATAGAAAAAAAATTAAAATCCCAAAGAGATTGACTTATGTAGGACTATATGAATGATGGGACTGACTCCCATGTTGACTCTTCACAGTAAAACCAGTTGCTGTCTACATTTAAACTGTATGTTCAGGTAGAATGGTATTCATGGGATTGTCAGTGACTGATTTTTCAGAAGTAGATCAGCTGGCCTTTTATTTTTAAGTACTACTGGCAGACATAAACCTGCAACTTTTCAGGTTACAGCTGGGCATGTTGATCATCTGCACCAATCAGGGATCATCATAACAATGGCGTACTGAAAACAAATGGAAAAATTATAGTGATATCCTGCCCACCTCTTAGAGAAGCCCTGTGAGTGGCCAAGTGCTTAACCAAAAAGTCAATGGTTTGAACTCACCAGATACTCTGAGGGAGAAAAATGTGTCCATTTTCTCTGGTAAAGATTTAAAGTCTTAAAGACTAAGGGGCAGCACAATTCATCCAATAGGGTTGCTATGAGTTGTAATCAATTTGATGGCAGTGGATTTCAGTTGGAGTGGCCCATGCCCTGCAAAATAAAGGGAACACCTAATACTTCTGGGCAGCTTTGGGTTAGTCTGTGGCCATTAGTAGTTGGATAGCATAGGTCCAAAATGATACTCCAGTGAGAGCAGACAAAACACTCTTGCAAGACGCACAATGCCTCAACGTTATTGTGTGCCATCGAGTCAGGTCCAGCTCATAGCTGACTCTCCAGAAGCATGGAGGGAGACTTCTCATCCTTCTCTTGTCGAGCAGCTGGTGGATTTGAACTGTGAGCCTCTGGAAAAGAGTTATTCAGAAGGGATACAGTATGTTATTTTTGGAGCCAAGGTGTTTTAGTTTTCCAATGACAGAAATGGGAGCAGAATCTTCCTAACACCTTCCAGGCCCTGGCAAGTTGATAAACTGCCTCTGTGGCTGTAGTCTAACAGTGTTGTGAAGAAAAGACTCAAAATCAAGACAGCTGGGCTGGGTGTGGCCCCATGACAGTGTTGTGAAGAAAAGACTCAAAATCAAGACAGCTGGGCTGGGTGTGGCCCCATGACAGTGTTGTGAAGAAAAGACTCAAAATCAAGACAGCTGGGCTGGGTGTGGCCCCATGACATATATACATGTTGCTATTAGGTGCTGTCAAGTAACTAATTCCTAGTGACCTAGTGCAATAGAAGGAACTCCTGCTGGATCCTCATGATCTCAGCTGTGCTTAAACCCATGGTTGCAGTCACTGTGTCAATCCATCTCATTGATCTTTGGCAAACTGCCTGACCTCTATATCTCAGTTATCTCCTTAAGAAAATGGTAGGAACATTATTTTATTAAGGTCAAGTAGGCCTCTTTCCATTATGAGCTGTCATTCACCATTTAGCTAATACAATAATTACATGGATAATAAAGACTTTGTATAATAAGAGTTTTCACATTTCCTCACATTCTGTATGTTATCCAATATCATTCCAGTGAGGAATTCATTAATATGTTTACCAACTTTTTTATCCATTTAAAGTCAGTTTAAACTATGCATTTCACATAGTTTCAATGAGCTGCAGTCTTAAAGGCATGAAGTTCAAATCTGCCCAATGCTCCTCAGGAGAACGATGGGTAATCTCTCATGCTGTTGTAGCCTCTGAAAACGCACTGAAGGGTCAACTGTGAGTCCGTTCTGATTTGATGGTACACAACAACAGCAACAATTACAATAGAATCCTTAGATGATACAATAGTTTGATGATTGACTTCTGAAAAATTCAACCATTCAAAGCCCTATGGAGCACAGGAGCACAGATTTAAAGTATAACAGTTGACTGGATGGACAATTATATTAGTATTGGTTGTCTTATTTTAATAAGTGAATAGTTTAGGTATGGAAGTCAGCCTCTAGAATAGCTCTCAATGAAATCTACTAACTGGCATTCACTTTATCCAGGTAACTCCCAAAACTAATATATGGTAGTCAACCCTATGGTTATTGTAATCATCGCTGTAAATAGGTGTAGTTATCTGCTTGGTCCACTGGGGGGAAGTAGAGGAAACCATACATGAAATCCTTTCACTTTCTAATGATCTG